CTGTCACCACGACAGAGCAGATGAGGATATTATTTTAGTCCGGGGTAAAAAAAGAAATTTAACTACTGCGGATTCGAACCCAGGTCTACCGCACTTGAACCCAGTGTTCTAACCATTCGACCAAGCAGCCACTTAATCGGAACAACGAAAAGAGAACACAACTATTAGACATATGTGTCCCTACCACTGTGTCGCGATTAAAACACAATTCAAAACCGCAGGCAATTGTTTTCTCGTAGACAGATACTCCAGATATATTAATGAAATAGAAATCGCACGTGTCTAACACGGTTAATGAAGTAAATGTCGCAGTCACTGTCTGCGCCGACGTCGAGATAGTCCTTGATTGCCCCCCCCCCCCCCCCCAATCGAAGGTTGTTTGAAAAAAAAAAACAGAAAATAGAAATCGTGTTTAATATGGTTATTGTGGCATATATAGAGATAGTCTTGTTTGCTGTACCACGACCTACTCTATGTATTAGTATTAGAGAAGGCATTGGCTGCACGTAACTCGCCGGCGAATGGTAAATACGGCGCATGCGCAATTGCTAACGTGGCTATAATTAGAAATCACTAAAGTTATAAATATTTGTTGCGTATATTTTGGCATAAATTGTGGTCACCTATCTCTAACAGTGACAGGTTGAATTTCTAACCACGACGGTTCAAAATCCGGTATCACAACAAACATATCCTGAAAATTTCAGCTAAATCGGTTCAGTAGTTTCCGAGTCTATAGAGACCAAACAAACACACAAACATTGATTTTTATATATATAGATTATGTTATCTAGCGGGTCCGAACCCAACCATGTTATGCGGCAAGCAAAGTGTTTACTAATTAAACTAATTTGTTGACAGCTAATGTTGGTAATATAGTTGCTGTCTCTCAAGCCGCGATAGTGATGGCCGTTAAGCTTGCCTAATAGCTTGGTGATCGAGTGTTCCATTCATTCTTACTTGGGGGTTTTATTGAAAAGATAAATTATTGAGATTTCCATAGCATTCCACTCTGTAAGGGATCGGGGGCGGCGACAAAACAAATTAGGGGCATATTTTCTGGGGGTCTTCAGGAGATTAAGCCATATTTTGTGCGTAATAAAAATAACTATTTTGAAAAGAATAATAGAAACAAAAATATTATATTATATTACAATAATAATAATAATTCTAACAATAAATTAGCATCATCATTAAGCGTTGAATCAAAAATTAAAATAATAATATGTTTGAAATGATATGATCTGTAGAAACAAACACTTCAAACAAATCTTTCCTATTTGGTAATCGGTGTCACGTTTAGAAGTTTAGGCGCTTTATAAATTGGCTCACAGTAGGCGGCTGAGGCTCTTTACTAAAAAAATTTTTTTTTTTTTTTTTTTTGGGGGGGGGGGGGAGGTGCTGGAGCTCTCAGACCCCGGCGCTCCTGAAAGGAATGCGACGTAATTTCCTGGAGAGTAAAGACAGCTGTAAGAGTAGCACCATATACCTATTAGCCATGATATCCTAAAAGGGGACCTTTTTTCCTACCCCTTACTTGTCTCTCTTCGAAGCCCGCTTTCGCCAACACAGTCTCCGACGCCGGGTTGAGCATATGGGTTTCCCCCGGCCTCCACTATTAGAGGCGTGAATTATTTACGCATGGTATTTTGCTGATTTCCCCTGTTATTGAAAAGGTAATCCTACACAGACAAAAGTTCTTTCGGGTAAACGCCGCTTTATTTTGACATGCTTAATTTATTGTTCCTTCCTTTTCCCCAAAAAATCAAGACCAATGTTGGCGAGCCGCAAGAATAATATTTAATATTGGTAGTTGTGAGAGGGAGGTATGTGGTGCCACGATTCCAGCTACAAGATTTTTCTCATGTAACCAAACTTGTTTTTGTAAGCTGTTTTCTATCTTTGTCTTTCCTTACAGTGTGCCTACGGAAGCCCGCGTCATTAGGCTGTAGGAAGTTTCTGCTATCCGTTCGCAAATGAATTCTTTGTATTTGGGACTTCCAGTGAGCCTGCCAACGTTTAGTTTACAGTGAAACAAAACCGTGTCTTCTATTGTTATCCTGATAATTTAATATGCTAACTCTCTAGTATGGTTTAGAAAAAAAAATATGAAAAGAATATTGCAGGATAGGAATAATAACCTATACCGTAATCTTGAACAACGGTGTGAGGTGAGAGAGAGAGAGAGAGAGAGAGAGAGAGAGAGAGAGAGAGAGAGATACAGAGAGAGAGACAGAGAGAGAAAGAGAGATAGAAAGAGAGTAAGAGAGAGAAAGAGAGGGAGAGAGAATAAGAGAGAAAGAAATCAGAAACAGAGAGAGAAAGAGAGAGAGAAAAAGAGAGAGAAAGAGAGAGAGAGAGAAAGAGACAGAGAGAAAGAGAGAGAAAGAAGAGAGAAAAAAGAGAGAGGGAAAGAGAGAGCTATTATGTTGAACGTGACTTGACTGAGAGAGGTGTATGTATATCTGTAGTTGCTACACGTTTGCCTGCAGGCTCGAATCGTCACCGGGCGGATCTCAGAACTAACCTTTGCCCCCGAATCGACCCAACGTAATGGTACTAGGTAATGTACTTGGAAAAAAAGGTGGCCGCCGTGATGTCGACCAAATCAGCAATTAAGTGTCGATATGAAATTAGCACTCATTCGCAACTAGACTATCGTGGCTTTCATTTGACAGGTTAGGACCCCCACTTGACTTGGAGTCAAACCGTTCCCAGACCATATTTAAAAAAGAAAATAAGGACGTTTCAGGACCAATCCCAGCTGTTGTCTGCTGCAAAATCGGCTTCAGCTGCGATCTGACCGAGAACCCCGCAGTCATAAACAGTTCGTCAGATACGTAAGAACACGTAAGATACCGGGAAGCCTATCTAGGTCAAACTTCAGACCCCCAAAACAACAAGATATGCCAGATTTTACTTTGAAGTGATTCTTTTTTGGTTTGCAGTTTAGTGACAAGTACGTGACGATAGCTTCACTTTTTACAGCTAATAATAAAATTAGGAAATTTTCAATCACACGAAACAAATATTTCACATATAATATACACAATTTCGGAAACACATTGTTTACAAAACTCACACACATACACTTTTTGAAAGGAAAAGCGAGGGAATCATAAACAGACCAAGCAGGAAGCCTGGACAATATTCACAAGCTAGCAGAAATCCTGAAGGTAAACAGCAACTCTTGTGACAATCTGTCAGCAGACAACAGCTGTAGCAACAACCGTTATTCTCTCACCAGCTCCTTCAGCTGCAGCAGAAAACTAGCAAGAATGATCTACAGTGCTCTTTCCTTACTTTTTTTTTAAATCTTCTAACTAGATATTCGAATCGCATTGTTGACAGTGGAATACATGGAACTTTTTTTTTTTTAGACAACATCACCAGCATCATCCCAGCAAACCTGTATCTGCCGGTGTATCCGAACAGTCTCTAACCCAGAGAGCCGCAGCTGCGTTTGCCTCCCGGCTGAAGGTCTTAGGGGTGCAGCCCCGCAGCGGCGGATGTTTTGTACTTGGACTTGGCACTTAAGTCCAGCCAGTGTGAAATGGGCACTAGGTTTTGTCCCGGGAAATAAAAGTGCCTACATAATGTGACCACGTCTTGATTGCTGATGGGTCTATAAACGTATGGATACAACCTCATTTACCTAATACGAGAATGACGTGAAAAATATCTCGTTTGAAGTTTCCATTCCCAGATGTGAAATTCCCAGATGTGAAATTCCATGTACCTATCTTGTACTCGCAGCTGTGTTTGTTAAAGCCTTAACGTTGAATGAGGTAGTCCCGGTAATAAAGTTACAAGCCTTTCTAGGTTAGGAAGCCTCTCAAATCTCTATCGCGCTATTAACATACTGATTTAAGGCAATCTTGTTTAAAAACAAGAGCCTCTGTTGTGTAACAGCTAGACGCTCATCTGCTGATCTGAAGGTGGTGGGTTCAAATCCGAACGAAGCCCCAATTATTTTTAATAAACACTTTTATTTTGATTTCGACCCAGCCTTAAATGGATACCAGGTAAAGTCCTGGGAAGTGAAGGCAACCGGCGTCATGTTGGCCCCATCACCTACTAAGTGCCGATTGGTCTCTAAAAAATACTTTAGCGTTATGTGCCTAATACGCCTGATTAGGGGGGGGGGGGGATAATAATTGGAAGCTATTAACTTGCAGTTCGCCTAAAGGCGTCGACAAGGAATCTTTGATGCGCTTACTTGTCTATAGCGTCAGGGAGGTGATTTCGTATGCAACTATTAGGATCAGTTCCGAACACTGAAACATCTTTCAAATGCTCAGCTGACCAGGGGGTCGTCTATTTCTGATTTGCATCTTCAACGAAAGCCTACCAAAATCAGAACCTGTTCTGATTTTTTGTTTTGTTTTTTGGTTCAAACTTATAATAATGATAATTTGTTATATTTATGCTTTTATCTATAAATCTAGATTTGAGAAACAGATATTATGAAAGGGTATGAAGAAAAGCTATTATTGCTGTTGAGTTGCTACGAAGAATGACTGAACACAAAAAGCTAGTTGAAATGAATTATATACGTACAACAGATGAATACTTGACTGAATATTTTCTGTTATTAAAACTGCTCCTTAATTATAGCACTACGCCACAAAGTCTGCATTTGAATATCTACCAACTGTGACACCCGCCCTGAACATACGAGAAAGAGAGAGAGAGAGAGAGAGAGAGAGAGAGAGAGAGAGAGAGAGAGAGAGAGAGAGAGAGAAAATGAGTTGGGAGACTGGGAGAGAGAGAGAGAGAACAAAAAGAGTTGGGAGACCGGGAGAGAGAGAGAGAACAAAAAGAGTTGGGAGACCGGGAGAGAGAGAGCGCGCGAGAGACAGACAGAGAGAACAAGAGAGAGAGAAAGACAATGAGCAAGAGAATAAGAGACAGGGACACAGAGCAAAAGAGAGCAAGACAGAGAGAGCGAGAGTGACAGAGAGAGTCAGAAAGAAAGAGAGAGAGAGAGAAACAAGTACCTGTAGTGGATATCTGTTGACTGCATGTCCTCAGAGCCCTTAACCCAGCCCTTGACATAGATGTCTGACATTTTCTCTCCCGTGAAGAAGGCGTCATCCTCCAGGACCACGTCATCAGTGTTCCAGATTATACATCGGAGTTCGTAGCTGTTGATACATGGATACAGGTGATCACAGGTGTTAATGCATGGATACAGGTGATCTCTGGTGTTGATGCATGGATACAGGTGATCACTGGTGCTGATTACCTAGCTACAGGTGAACACAGGTCTTGATGCATGGAGACAGGTGATTTCAGCTGATTAGATAGCTACAGGTGAACACAGGTGTTGATACATCGTTATAGGTAATATGTGGTGTTAATTACCTAGCTACAGGTGATCACAAGTGTTGATATATGGATACATGTAATCACAGGTTTTTATGTATGATACTGGGATACATGGGGTCACAGATGTTAATAGATGGATACAGGTGATCACAAGTGTTTATACATGGATACAGGGGATTATAGGTATAGATGCATGGATATATGTGATTATAGGTGTTGATCAATGGATACAGGAATTGATGCATGGATACAGGTGATGATGCATAGATACAGGTGTTGATGCATGGATACAGGTGTTGATGCATAGATACAGGTGATGATGCATGGATACAGGTGTTGATGCATGGATACAGGTGTTGATGCATGGATACAGGTGATGATGCATGGATACAGGTTTTGATGCATGGATACAGGTGTTGATGCGTGGATACAGGTGTTGATGCATGGATACAGATGTTGATGCATGGATACAGGTGTTGATGCATATATACAGGTTTGATGCATAGATACACGTGTTGATGCGTGGATACAGGTGTTGATGCATGGCTACAGGTGTTGATGCATAGATACAGGTGTTGATGCATGGATACAGATGATGATGCACGGATACAGGTGCTGATGCATGGATACAGGTGTTGATGAATGGATACAGGTTTTGATTCATGGATACAGGTGATGGTGTATGGATGCAGGTGTTGATGCATGGATACAGGTGTTGATGCACGGATACAGGGGTTGATACATGGATACAGGTTTTGATGCATGGATACAGGTGATGATGCATGGATACAGGTGTTGATGCGTGGATACAGGTGTTGATGTATGGGTACAGGTGTTGATGCATGGATACAGGTGATGATTATGGATACAGGTGTTGATGCATGGATACAGGTAATGATGTATGGATGCAGGTGAGCACACGTATTGAAACATCAATACAGGTGACAGCAGGTGTTGGTGCAAATATACAGCTGATTACAAGTATTGAGGCATGGATACAGGTATCCACAAGTATACAGGTGATCAAAAGTGTTGATGCGTGGTTACAGGTCATCACAAGCGATCACATGAATCCATCATGTATCTTTAAAACAACAACATTGCGTCTGACATTGGGAATGAGCCGTTTCCCTGCAAAAGTTTTAAACAAAAACGTCACAATGAAATGAAGTACAGTAGACACGAAAGTATTGTAAGAAAGAGAGTGGTGAAGACAGAAAGAGAAAGAGGCAAATTAAGGATACGACCTTTTTGGCTTCCTTGGTGAGATGTCTATTGGGGGTCCAGGTGGTGGCATATCCATGGGGAACATGTCCACGAACATCTCGATCTTTCCCTGGCAGGTCAACAAGAAACAACGGTTGGAAATTATATCCTATGTCTGTCACCTTAGTGCCCATGTCTGTCGCCTTAGTGCCCATGTCTGTCGCCTTAGTGCCCATGTCTGTCACCTTAGTGTCCATGTCTGTCACCTTAGTGCCCATGTCTGTCACCTTAGTGCCCATGTCTGTCACCTTAATGCCCATGTCTGTCACCTTAGTGCCCATGTCTGTCGTTTTAGTGCCCATGTCTGTAGTCTTAGTGCCCATGCCTGTCATCTTAGTGCCCATGTCTGTCACCTTAGTGCCCATGTCTGTCACCTTAGTGCCCATGTCTGTCACCTTAGTGCCCATGTCTGTCGTTTTAGTGCCCATGTCTGTCGTCTTAGTGCCCATGTCTGTCACCTTAGTGCCCATGTCTTTCACCTTAGTGCCCATGTCTGTCACCTTACTGCCCATGTCTGTCACCTTAGTGCCCATGTCTGTCGTCTTAGTGCCCATGTCTGTCGTCTTAGTGCCCATGCCTGTCGTCTTAGTGTCCATGTCTGTCACCTTAGTGCCCATGTCTGCCACCTTAGTGCCCATGCCTGTCGTCTTAGTGCCCATGTCTGTCACCTTAATGCCCATGTCTGTCACTTTAGTGCCCATGTCTGTCGTTTTAGTGCCCATGTCTGTCGTCTTAGTGCCCATGCCTGTCGTCTTAGTGCCCATGTCTGTCTCCTTAGTGCCCATGTCTGTCTCCTTAGTGCCCATGTCTGTCACCTTAGTGCCCATGTCTGTCATCTTAGTGCCCATGTCTGTCGTCTTAGTGCCCATGTCTGTCGTCTTAGTGCCCATGTCTGTCTCCTTAGTGCGTATGCCTGTTGACTTAGTGCCCATGCATGCCACCTTAGTGCCCATGCCTGTCGCCGTAGTGTTTGAACGTTTGACCAGCCCTGCGACTTCTGCAGTCACAACCCGGCTGGCAATTCAATAATGGCAATCCATTTACATTGTTCACTGTTTACAAATGTTGCAGTTAGTGTACCAGTAACGACCACATCAAATACTGTGTGTACCCGGGGCTCTTGTGTCGACAAGGACGATCTTGGGAACTATATACAGGTGCGCGTGCGTACGGTTGTCACGCTCCGGCCTGCTACCTAACAAGTTTGAAACAGTGGGATCAAAAGACTTCAATCTTAATGGTAGTAATTTTTAATCACGTAATTCTTCATAGACAAGGGAAGAAAGGCATAGTCATTTATCAATAGTTACGCGTTCTTAAGACAACAATAACAAGTGTTGTTAAGCGTGTGGTGGGTATTTTTAGGCAATACATACAGGGATTAAACTAGCTATGGTACAAATAAAGGTACATTAAGGTGATGCATGCAGAGGTCGGATTCGAATTCGTATGTCTCATTTTCAAATGGCTATGAATTGTTATAACTGACTGACTATGTTCTCAGGTTAGCCTAACTTAATGGTCACCATGAAATGTGTCAGGAAATCTAGGCTGCTGACGTAATACTGCTAACATCGTCTGTTATTAGCAAAAAGGATTTTAAATGTTCTGTAGTTTGCAAAGTTGTATGGTGATGCAGAGAGCGCCGCCATAGATCTGTGGCACTGCATTGTTTAATAAATACCTGGACAGGATTTACATTTCGTTCAAGTATAGTCGTCAGTGTCTGTGGGCTAAAAAGTTATGAACTCTCATTTCGTCCTCGATCAGGATTTACCTTGTATTTAATTCGACATGGCGTCAGTGTCAATCATTCAGAAGCAATGACAACCACTGGTCCAAAAAAATGTGAATATAAAAACGACGAACACCCAAACAATAAATTATGGGATTGTTTTGTGAGGAATACAACTAACTGTAACCATTACCACGATTTGAATAGCGGGTTAGGACATCTGCTCTGCTCGGACTAGTTTGCAAGTGCAGCTTCTCTTAAACTGAAACGCACCCAGCCTATACAAATCAGAGGTGGACGTCTTTCCCCTACTGCACTGTATTTCTGGGATAAGTTAGTTAAGGCCATTCCTTGTAGGTTTGCTGATCCAGTCGTTGTTGCCTATTCATTAGTTTTGGACGATAAGACAAAGAGGTGTGCACACACTCATTCAGGAGTATGGTTTCGATAAAGTGTAATGGGGCATCTGTTGAGTGTCGTAAAAGTTGTTGAATGCCTCTCTTGTCCATGCCTGATTACAGTAGTCAACAACCAATATTTACGAGCAATGAATTCGTTGACTAGTGTTATGAAATTTGTCAAAAGAACCGAATTCTAATATTACGTTGTCCCCAAAATCTACAGACCCATATAATTCAAGAATACAATAATGGGGATCGCCCAGCGAAAGGCTCACACCAAAAACACAAGAACATAAACACAACGCACATACAACACAGAAAGTAAACCTGTTCAATCCCTGGTTTCTCAGGGTGGAAGAGTGCCCTGGTTTCCACATGTTCG